CCTGCTCGTTTAGCATCTGATGCTTCCCACAACTGGCAGCACCAGTCCTGCTCCAAAACAGGAACAGAAACCAGCAAAAGTACAGCCAAGCCTTTCCACAAAAAAAACCCCTCCTCCACTACAGAGTTTTTAACCTTAGACTGTCAAGGGTATCCTAGAGATGCCACAAGCATCCTGGACACAGGAGTTGGCATCCAACTCCTTGTGTAGGAAGGGGCTCATGGCTCACTCTCCTCCCTAAACCCCTAACATCGAGATGGTCCTTTGAGCAGAGCTCTGCATGTCTCCACAGCTCACAGGGCCCAAAGCACCCAGTAGCCTGGATAGTCTGATGGAAAGAGTTTGCAAATGTGCAGCTGGAGAATCCACCCAAATCCTTTCGTCTGGCAGTCAACAGCAGAGCACAGGGAAACACCATGCCCGAGGCTGTGTCCTCAGAACCGGCTCTGCTCTCGCATCCCCCAGCCAAGACAAGCAGAGCAGAGCTTTGGAGCCCAGGTAGGATTCACTTCCCATGCTCCATCTTGGAGGATTTGGCAATAAACACACACTGCCTCTTCAGGCTTCCCTGGACATCCTCCACACAGCAGCTACAAACCACAGCTACAGCCCATGCCTGGAGCCAGTGATCCCCTCTGCTTCCAGAGGGGCCAGTCCAACAGCACTGGTGGGTCCTTCCACAGGCCCCAGCAGTGACCTGGGACATTGTGCAACACACTGGGGTGTAACCAGTGCCCCAACAACAACCATTCACAACCAGTCCTGCCCCACCACTGCACACAGCCTCAATCCAGAGAAGCAGTTTTGTCAGTGGATGAACAAGTCAGTAGAAAAGCATGATCCATCTAACAGGTCCTTTAAAGCCACCAGGAGTCAAACACCACTTCCTAACACCTGGTAAGGTAGCCAGGCTCTGTGTAAGAGCTGAGAGGTTCTAGGGAAGCTCCTGGATCAGAAACAAGAAGGAATTCAGTTCCCTGCAGCAGGGACACACAGTGCAACAGAGCACACCATTCTGAAGCTGCAGGTTAAATCCTTGTGGTCGAGCTGGAGCACAGACCCAGGCAGCATCACACACAGACATGGCAGAGAGGCTCAGCCAGGAGTGCAGTCCTGCATCTCCTGGATCAGCCATATCCAAGCAGGAAAATTCATCCCCAGGATACTAAGCTTTCAAGGAGGGCACTGTCACACTCCAGACACCTTGAGCACTCCAAACAAAACACATGCAAATGAGAAAAGGAGTGCCAAGAAATGCGGAGGAGTTTCCCCTGCCCCAGAATAACAGAGACCACCAGCAAAGCCTTACTACCATGCAGACAGCTCCTCTTTGCTGGCTGTGCACCAGGAAGCCAACAGCTTCCCTGGAGTTCCCATCCCCTCAGCCCCAAGCAAACCCTACAGCTCACAGTTTACCTACAGAAGGTCCTACTCCAGGCACAGACACAACCCACAGCAGCTCAGTCACTCGAACAACACACAGCTGTGCAGCAAAAGCCACCAAATATGTCCAAGGCAAGTGGAAATGAAGGCACATCCACAGCCCTGAGGCACACACACCTGCAGGAAACCCAGAGATAACGAAATCCCAGGGCTAAGTAGAACCTGCAGCATCACAACAGCACGGCACAGGATTAGGATATCCAAATCCTTAGGGAAGTCATTAAACACAGCTCGGCTGCCAGTATGGCAAGATGTGATTAGCCCCTGGGGATGCTGTGGAGCAGGCAAGGCTCATCCACCTCAGCTTTTGCTTTTTACATCTTCCACAGAAATCTCACCTGGGTGGTGCTGTGCCAGTGCCTGGAGGGGCTCTCAGAGCTGTAGCTACAGCCAAGAGGACCTTAAATCCCGAGACAAAACATAAGATGCTGTTAAAGTGGTGCTGGTCTCAACATAACCAAGCCAAGATAGCGCCATACTTCCATGAAAGGCAGTGCTAAAAGTCTTTTATTATGCGGATGTTTTGCTTCCCAAGCTGAAATGTGACACTGGTGTAACTTCCTACCAAACACCACCATGCAACAAGAAGCTCCCACTCCCAGCTCATACCAAACACAGGATTAAGCACAGCTGCACCATTTCTCCCACCATCGGCAAGGCTGAACTTCAGCAGCTATCCCAGGATTTACTGCATGGAGACAGTTTTGGACATACCTGGCTGCAATCAAGACTGGAAGGGATTATGATTAATTAAAGGGGAGCACTAACCTTTACTCAAACTCCTGTTTTTAAGGGCATTTCCCTGTACAAGCAGCTACTTTTATACCTTTTTTTAAATAAAACACTTTGAAGCCATCACTCACACAGCTCTGTACACAAGCAACACAACCGCTGCCTGTTGCAGCACATTACCAAGGCTGAGGGAGGTTTTAATTGGTTTAGGGAGACTGTTCCGTTGAGACAAACTGCAGCAAAGCCAGGAGAGCCTGAAGCTGCTCAGACTCAGCTCCCACCCCGTGCCCAGCTGCACCTGGAGCCCCTCACCAGCGCTCCAGGTGCCAGCACACCTTGTTAGTGCTCTCTGGGGCTGCCCGTGTGAGAGGCTAAGTGGGTTCAGCTGGGGAATAGCGAAGGGTGAAACAAAGAACTTGTTTTTCAGCAGACTTGTCCCTTGCTCAGCAGAGTCACCTTTGCCCATGTGGCACAGGTAGGAACTGAGCCGGCCACCACCAGCAGCCAGACACTACGTGGACCTCGCAGCACCTGGTTTAAAACAGCAGCTTTGCTCACTTTAGACGCTAAAAAACACAGCTCAGCAGCACACAGAA